TATTTTTAGGCATAGGCCATCTATAAGAAAATGGATTTAATGAATCCAATAGCTAACTTCAAGCATGAATTAAAGATATTGAATGGAATCAATAAAATTAAAATTTAATTAAAGTATAAATCGGGTGTAGTATGACATTAATGAAACACTAAACAAAATTCAAATATAATTTAAAAATATTATAATGAATTAACAGATAAATTTGATATTAAACACAAGTAATGATCATTAAAATATATATTAACGAGTACATATATGATGTAAATCACAAGTTAAGTATTGAAATAAATTGAAGAAAATGGTTAACTCAAAACTTGAGGTTTGTTGTTGTTTGTTACTAAAGCATAATAAAATTTTAGGTATAGTTATAATATAGAGAAAACTCTACTAAAACTTCATCAAAATTAAATAACTTCATCAAAATTAAATAATTTTTTGCTTAAATGAAAAATTAAAAAGATATATAAATCTCTCCCAAGATGAACATTTATGCAATATATAATTTGTAACATGTGTGAAAATGAAAATGATTGAGTATAGGGAAGTCCTTTATAATATATATATATATATATATATATATATATATACACACACACTTTATTTTACACATTTATGATTATTGAAATAAGTGAAAATTGCATTAAAAATTTAAAGGTGTTACAATAAATCCATGCAAAAACACAACCAAAACAGCCCGCAGTTCCAGCAAGAAATCAACCTAACGATCCAAGCAAAATCAACCCGAAAAACAAAACTTTTCCTCTCCAAAAATTAGCAGAAAGTATGCCTCCACATCCAGCATAAATCATTGTTCATTTTGGCTTAGTTCTGCCTCTAGTTTTACCAGTTCAATTCCGCACGTGACCATCCATACCGCCACTGCACATGCGCCATTCTAGCACCATGTCGCTGCCACGTTCTGCTCCAATGCTTTTGCCAATTCTAGCTACTTCAGAAGGTCAAGTTCAATTCTCATGGGTTGGTTCATTCGTGTTATTAAATTACAATACGTGTTTGAATTCATGTTGATTAATTTGCGATAAGTGATTGAGTTTTTCTTCTTTTTTCTGGCGACATGTGCATGGTTGCTTATGTGTTAGATCATATTTGTTTGTATTAATTTTGTGGAGTTGAATGATTTGAAATATATAGCCAATCTTTCCTCATGAATGGACATGCTTGTGAGATTACCATGAGTCTTGCCTTTTGATCGGGTATCATATAGGTTTCTTTGTGTAATGTCGATTGATCATTGTTGTTTGGAAATGTTATAATCCTTAAAATTATGTAATTAAGAAGTCTGAGTTTTTTTTATCAAAAACTAATTATAATAAATATAACTTTGTCTCCTTTAAAAATGTGTAAATAAAAAAATTATTTTATTTTTATAAAAAATCAACTCAAGTGGTATAATCCTTGAAGAGGTTCTATTCCTAAAAAATTGAAACCATGTGATGTTTAAAAGAAAATATAAAGGTGTTTTTATTGAAAAATCGACTCAAATATGATAAAATTTCATGAAGATGAAACTTTACTTTTTTAAAAGTAGAAAATACAAATTATGTAATAAAAAAAGAAAGAAAACCTACTTTATAATTTATCATTCTTCTAGATCTTGCATCTATATTCTAAAAGTAAGGATTAGATCTTATTGCTAGATGTGGATCCGAAATCACTAGTTTACATCTTATAAATCTTTTACTTCCGATATTAAATACAAGCATCTAATTTAAATAAATTCTTAGCATATATGGATAATGGGTATATTTTTATTGATAAAAACAAACAAGTAGCTTACCTTAATAGGATGTTTTAGAGTTATTTTAATTTTCTTTATAATATAATCAAGCTCTTACCTAAAGAATATGAAAAACTAGTTTGGATTTCTAATTATCATGAAAATTAGTGGCAACTATTTTTCTTATTTTTACCTCCTTCTATTAATCAGTTCGTCGAGATATTCCTTACAACAATTATCATGAAACTAGTGTCAAAGCATTGTGTATGGAGACATGTCATAGAGATGTGAAGATTTTATTTAAGATATAAATATAAACATATTTTATTGTGAACATGGAGAATTTTTTTGGGAAACGATACTGCTTTAATTAAAAAGCTTAAAATATTTTATTATACAAGTAAAGATACAATTTTAAAAAAATCATTTAATCTCAAGTAATGCATCATGGTAATATTTTCTTATTTGTTTAGGTTGTATTTCCTCACTCGTAAATTGTTGAAGGTGATCTATAACGATCAATATGTTTATCTTTTTTTTTCAAAACATGACATTCCTAGTACTATGATTGTTATCATGGTGGAGGAAACAAAATTTATTAAGGTTTTTTATGTTCATATCACTTTTCATAGGAGATGAATATCGCATAATTTATTTTTTCTTAATAAAAAATAATATCTAAACACTTCTGGTTGTAAAAAAAATATGTGATTATAAAATTAGAGGACATCATTCAATCACAAATGGATCTGTTGATGTTCCTTTTAAATGCTTTAGGGCTCCTAGGAAATCAATGGTATTTAGGAGATTTTTCTTTTTATGGATGGAAACAAAGGTGTTTTTGTTTGGTTATGCTTGTTTTTTCTCCTCGAATATTATTTTCGATCACCTATTTCATATTAAAAAGAGCTCGATCAGGGATAGTATGCAATTGTTCTCATAAAAAGTAGTTATAGACCTCACTAATCAAAGCTTCAATATTAATGAATTTGAGTAAACTTCTCACGTTGAGCATTCTTTTATAAAACCTTTGGAGATATATTTTAATACTCTCGTATTTTCATTGTGTGATGATTAGAAGCTTAATGATACTTTTTTAACTAGTATAATTTTACTGAAATGAGATTTGAGTTTGGCATTAAGATTATGAAAGTTAAGGATGAAGCCAAACTCTAATCTATGTTACCAAGTCTAAACAGATCCATGAAATATTGTCATAAAAACTTTGCACATAACATTATTGTCTTATGTTATAAACTTTATAATGCTTCACACTTTTTTATGCCCTCTTAAGCTTGTAAGACCATGGTTTTTGTCTAAGTTAGCCTTTACGAAAAGAATCTCTTACTTGGTGGAAGCAATGTTCATTTTTAAAAGCTCATGCAATTATTAATCTTATCTCCTATCTAAGTTTTTTTATACGAGGAGTATGCAAATAAAATTCACAGGGAAATTAATAGTAGTAGCCACCTTTATGGCTAGGACTTGCTAAAAAGTGCTCTTCATAGCAGGAGAAACTTCTTCAAAGCATTAGCATACCAGTGTTATTGTATCAATTTTTTTTCACGTCGTTCTTCCATATCCCTTCAGGAAACTAGAGTCATCTTTCCAAATCTATTATTATATAGCTAAAACAATATTAATTCCAAAGTACTTGTCGTGGGGAAGTTAATTAATCTTTCATGCCCTAGATTTTTCAAGTCTTCGGCTATGAAAATAACTTTTTGGTGATAGGTGTGAATGAAAGTGAACTAACTTTTGTTCAAGTTCTCACAAATAGCCCCACGAAGTCAATAAAGACTTCAAACTAGATTGAACTTTTCATGGTTACGTCTTAGGCTTATAAAGTGGTTAGGATTGACATGGTTAACGAGTTATTGTGATAATGGACTTGTCCACTACTTGGAGTGACTAGAATTAATCACTGGTTTATAGGGTTAATAGGATGACTTCCTCACTCACCTGCAAAAACATGTTTTCTACTAGGATAGGAGGGTTATTTGATGCTTAAACTAGTAAATATAGAAGAAGAGAAGTATGTTGAGCATGAAAATAATAAAGAAAATGAGTAGTGCAATAGACGAGCTAGATGATATATTTTATAGTGAAGTATGTTGAGCATAAAAATAATGAAGAAAATGAGTAGTGCAATAGATGAGTTAGATGATATATTTTATATGTGGAGTCTTATTGTGTGGACTTATTTTTGAGTTGTGTCATTGCTTATGTTCACTTACCTATTGACCTTAAGTATTTATATATTCCAGTCACATGAGTTTACCTTGTAGATAGTGAAGAAATGATAGAGAGTTACCTCATAGTAAGAGGAGAAAAATAAATTGATGGTTATTATATCATTAATAGAGAAATTGGTGTTTCTATTTGGTTATAGTGTGTTGTTGTGTTATTAATGGAAAGGTTGGTGATTGATAAATACCCTTTAAGATAACATATTGAAAGAAATATTTCTACTAGAGCATAAGTTAGCTTATCTCAAACTTATATCGATCTAATTTATAAGAAACTAAAAAAACACATTATTAAAAAAAAAACACTTGTAAGTTAAAACTAAAAAAACACATTATTAAAAAAAAAAAAAGACACTTGTAAGTTACAAACACAATGCATCCCAAGTTAATACTTTCATATATGATTAATTAAGTACTAACAAGTGTTCATTTAAAAAGATAATTGGGTGGCTAGTGAAAAAAAAAAGTGATGTAATAATTTTTCCATCTCTTGGAAGCATTTCTCATCTCAGCAAATCTACCCTAAAATTAAAACGCAACAACTTGGTAGCTTATAACTTTTATTTGACAAATCAATTGATATCCTAAAATCAGCTCAAGTGAAAAGATTCATAAGAAATTATATCTTCACAATCGGTCACTATTCACTTGACAAAAAGATCAACTCTTAAGAGCTAGCAAGGCCATGGACTCAATGGCAAATCATAATGGAGCGTGGGTCGGAATCATAGTTTTAAGAGTGTGGCTAAAATTACATGCAATTGGAGAGTTGGAATCTCTTAGGGACCTCTCCCTCTCAATTTGAACTCTTCCATGATTGAGAATGTGGCCCTTTGCAAGGAAAAAAGTGAAGCGTGATGACCCAAGGGAGAGATTTTTCTATATTCTCCTCCAAGTACGATACAAATATGACAAACTTGCCCTTAGAATGTATACAAAGGAGTCCTCATCAAATTGATAGTTGGACACCCCACCAATTATCCTTCACACCAATGTTTCTCCTCCTTATCCTACGCACCCTTTCTTTTCCCAGCAGAACCCCATAACTAGAGGGGGGGGGGGGTCATAATGCATCCGTTGACATACTTTTTATAACCATATCATACCATATATTGACCTGAAAGAATTGTGGAGCAAACACGCTATGGCAAGCGTAGGTACTTGGACGAGAGATGAAGAGAAAACTTTTGAGAACGCAATAGCGATGCATTGGATTGATGAGGATTCAAATGAGCAATGGGAAAAGATTGCTTCAATGGTGCCTAGTAAAAGTCTTGAAGAGTTGAAACTACACTACAAAATACTAGTAGAAGATGTTTGTGCTATAGAGGCAGGAAACGTACCAATACCAAATTATGAAGGAGAGGAAGCCGCATCTTCAACCAAGGATCTTCATGGGCTTTCTGGGACGATGACTACCGTTAAGAAATTGAATTGTGGTTATGGAAGTGGGTTTGTGGGGTTAGGTCATGAGTCATCCGGACATGGAAGCAAAGGAGCATCAAGATCAGAACAAGAAAGAAAGAAAGGCATTCCATGGACAGAAGAAGAGCATAGGTAAGTCCATTTCTATGTACTTTCTCTTCGGATTATATTTAAACTCTCCTACTCCATTTCTATGTACTTTCTCTTCGGATTATATTTAAACTCTCCTGCATGTTATGGTAATTACCAGTATAAACGAACAAGGTTGATTAGTTTAATGTAGCAGACAGCGACTGCTTTTGGTGTAGCTGTTCATAGGTTGGCTGCAAACTTTAAATGGAACTAGAATCTTGTGTTTCTTCGCAAACCTAGAGTTAATTTTGTACAAGGTTCTTTTTTTCTTTTTCTTTTTCTTTTTCTTTTCTTTTTTTTGAATAATTAGTTCGGCACTGGCCTCATCTCTCTCCCTCATTTCCTTTCCCTTCAGGTTATTTCTACTTGGTCTTGACAAGTTCGGCAAAGGAGATTGGAGAAGCATATCAAGAAACTTTGTCATATCAAGAACACCAACGCAAGTGGCAAGCCATGCTCAAAAATACTTCATCCGATTGAACTCAATGAATAGAGATAGGAGGAGGTCTAGCATCCATGATATTACAAGTTTGAACAATGGAGATGTGTCTTCTCATCAAGCACCAATTACTGGTCAACAAGTGAACACAAGCCCTGCTGGTTCCGCTCCTGCTATGGGACCTCCGGTAAAGCATAGGACACAAGCCCATATGCCTGGTTTAGCCATGTATGGCCCGCCGCTTGGACACCCGGTTGCCCATCCTCCAGTTCACATGGCATCGGCTGTTGGAACTCCGGTCATGCTTCCCCCACCTGTACACCATCCCCACCCTCCCACGTAGTTCCTGTGCTTACCCAAACGCACCACCAAAAACAATATCAATAAGGATCTCTCACTTCCTCCAAATTTCACCAGAAGACTGAAGGATTTTGAACGAAGGAGGGGTGTAGTAAGAGGACTTTTTTTTCCTCCTAGCTGGGTACTGAAAATGAAGATTCATTCATCAAGAACATGATCAACAAGATGTAAGGTATCAGGGACTCAGCATTTTTTATCATTGAAATTTTGTATTCTATGCTAATCATAGCTGCTTAATTTATCAAACATCTCAACAAGATCAGTGGTGATTCCTCTGATACTCGGTATTTCTTTTGCCAAGTATCTCCCTGCTGCCTCTAGAAAAATTACAAAATAATGAGAAATCCATCTGAAAAACCGAGAAGGATTCTGAAGCACAATTGACTGGTTGACCAACTTCAACAAGAGAGAAACAAGCCATTTTTAGAGTAATTTCCAACGATCTCCGTTTAACAGATAATTTTGCACTTGAATATGCGAGCCACTAAACCCTATAATACGTTCATTAGTTGTCGTTTTATCTTTTTTCAATTAATTTTCATTTCCATACCCACCGGATTTTGAAAATAGCTATGCAAATTTCTATTTAATGAAATTGCTATTTCATGACCCAATTTATTATTATTATTTTATTTTATTTTTTGAAAAAGAGCTTCATATAAAAACTGGGGGCTTCAGCACATTTTGATCATTTATCAACAAAAAGAGAAACAAATGACGGGGGCAAAAGGAGCAGAAACGAAACTCACTTTTCAGAGGCTTTAGAGCAACGCAGCAAGCACAAATCACTACCACTAAGGGGTAGCAGTCATAAAGAACTAGAAGTTGCTGATATACAAAATTTCAGACTACCACTACGATGAATGATGAGAAGGTTTCCCCTTTGATTTTACATGAAGACGCCTAAGGATATGATACAACATCCTCTTTCTTCCCCATTTCCACCATATGGGTGGTTCAGTCCTCTGCCGCTTTTTTATTTGTTTTCCTGCAGGTATTGAGAGTAGTGAAAACACAAACGGAAAATCTCTAAACATCTATCCGAGTTAAAATTTGACTACAAAGTAGAGTGAAGGGCATTGTAGATCTGAACCATCAAAAATTGAATAAATTGAAAGATAGCAAGCAGGAATTTCTCACTTGTATTACAGTATGCTCCCCATTGGGATTGCAATTTTGCATAGCTAGATCCAAGAGATGGCCAGAAGTTCATTTGAATCTTCATGACTTCCAGAACAGTTTGAAGACCAGCTCTGGAAGGTGCAATGTTTCCCAATTCAGATCCAGGACCTTCACCCAGCAATACCTTCTCAACAAAAACCCAGTCAGTTAAGTAACTAGATTTTAGACAACAAAGGTCAGTTTGAAGACCCTAGAGTCAGATCATTTTAGGACGTTAGCAGGTACCACATGGACTTTGCTGCCATGGTAGCACCACCCCTAGATCTTTTTTAACAATTTCAATCATGTAACTTCTTCATGGTACATGCTGAGTTATGGAAAGTAAATTTCGATTCCTACATGTCTACCATCCAAATTTAAATATTTTTATCTATGACGAGTTTATATGATTTCAGGTATTTGAATATTCACCTTGATCACTGAGGTGGCAGAAGATGATATTGAACGTAGATTGTATCTGCAACAGATGAAATTATTTTCATGTGAACTCAGTTGACATGAGATAATTATAATAAAGTTAAAAGAGTCAACTAGTAAACAAACCCGCCCTCTAGAATAACAAGCAACTTTCCACCAGAAAGTGTATACAGCATATCTGTCATTTGTGAATAGCCAGCAGGAGTTACCTACAAAAACATCATTTGGATGGACAGAGCTCCTTCAGTTCTTTGCAAGAAATTAATGCATCATTAGACTATTTTACAACACGATGAAAATTACCAAATAGCTCACTAGAAATAGTATATCTTGTGAAATGAGAAGACAAGAAACAATTGCAAACAGTTCAGTCAAAAAGCAAAATCCTTACATCACAGCATCCCAGAGGATCCCCCCTTGCAGCATCAAATCCAGCTGATATGATGATGAAATCTGGAGCAAACTCAGTGGCTGCAATCATGTGATTCAAGCATCATCGAATGTTTTGGGCATGAAAGACATGCACTTGTTATGAGAAACAAAACAACTGCAAACCATACAAAACTGGAACAAAGACAAGATGCTAAACATTCCATGGAAAGATATAACAAAGCTTCATTCACAAACACATAACAAATATTTAACTGTAGCTTCTTACATAGGCAACAAGAAATATTAATAAGCATTAAAAAATCACCTCAGCAAAGACCAACACGACAAAACAACACAACACTAGAAATTAATACACAAACAGCACAATAGCACATGGTTTTAGAAGAAGCATTTACGACCTCAAGTTTTCCTTACCAATCTAGCTACGTTATGCCAGAAAGCTGTCCATAATATATCTTCATCACCCAAAGGCTAAATTACATAATAGAGTACTCATCATAGCCAGACAATTGATGCACTCTCTTTTAAATATTTTTAAAATAAAAAAGAGCACAAGCAAATTAACCCACTTCCACATAGAAGCAGATTTCAACATTTAGCATGCAAAATTCATTAATATTTTACAAAACAAGCAGTCTTTCCCAAACCTGGTTCCTCCAAGGAAAAACTAGAACTATATACATAATTGCCAAAGCACAGACTGCAGACAATCCCTTGCTAAATTTAATTCACATTTATGAAATAGCAACAGAAGAGATCAACCTATAGGTAGCACAAGGTTTTGAAAAGCAAAAATATAATCATTATCACCAACTCCACCACGACTCCAGGGAATATTTACACAGGATCCTTCTGCACCATTTCTACCAACCTGCAAAAACATCCATGAACATTTATCACACTCGAAGTAAGATGCCAAAAATTAATAGAGCATATATATGAATATATATAGGTCAATGATAAATACACAGCATGTAAAACCAAATTAACCAGAAGTGAAAAATACTAGTAGGATAAAATGTATCATCCTAAAAGTGTCCCAATTTTAGATGCAGCTTTGCAGATACACAGAGCTTGCACATTAGGATGTTCTAATATTACTTTGCATAAAAGTTTTCCCTTCTCTTTTCATTACATTTTTTTGCAGTCAATCTTAGCCATTTCCTTTTCATTTTTTCATCATATATATATATATAGAGAGAGAGAGAGAGGAAAGGGTAATGAAGACAATGTACTAGGCCTCATGGAAGCTCCACATCTTGCAGCTCTCCTTGAGGCCTTAGTAGCCTCATTTAGAGCCTCGTGTACAAGGTGACCTTGGTAAGGATATGGCAAAGCACCATTGATGACAATCTCACTAACTGGCAGGAAACTACTCATTTTTATCCACTTCATATGTCCAAAGTTAAAATCTCAGGGTCCAACACATTTCATACCGGTACCATATCTTAACATGGGTAATCCATCAAAGTGACAAGCTCCAAACAACAACAAATAGTAAAGATGGATACAGTGGTCTGTTTCAAAAGGAAAAATAAATGATGCAAACAGGCACACTGCAAAAAATTACATAATTTAACACAATAAAGTCCTCCTAGAAACTGAATACCGGAGAAATCACAATTAACCTGCTCTATTACTAACACAACCAAGATTTGCTGTGTATTAACCCAAACCAAAATGTTGAATGTTAGTGCCAACCTTCCTGTCCCACGAAATATTCTGAGACCATGATGGGAATAAAATGAACAGAGGTACAGGCCTGGTATCTAATTTCCTGAGTTTCAAATGCTAATAGCAATCCTTTTACATACCCATATTCTTCCAGCTCCAAAGTAGTTTAAGCTTTGGCTTCAGAAATATCTAACATAACAATATCTGGTGAAAAGATCAATTTAAAAACCTCTTCTAATGAAACTCAGTGAATTTTCTTCTACACTTGACCACCTGTACTGTTCAAACCTATTACTTCCTATAAACTAGACAATATGCATCATCTTTAAATAATTTCCTCAAGCAATAGCATATCATTCAGAGCTCAAAAATAATAATTCACCTCAAGGAAAAAGAGAAAAAGCATGCGCGTTACTGTTACAAACACTAACATAAATTGTATCTAACTGCACAAATCAAATACACACTATATCTTCCCTCTCAATCTTAATGGCTAAACATCCTCAGTGTGAATTATAACACATCATCAACAAAGCTATCATTTTAGGAAATGAATTATTGAACTCTCAACTAAGGATAGGTCCAACAACAATAAGAACAACTATTCTCAAAAACAGAAACGAAAACAAAGACAAACAAAAAACAAAAAAAAAGAAGAAGAAACCAAATCACAGTGATAATAAAAGCAATAGTACTAAAAAATAACAACTGAATAACAATATCCAGTAGCAATGGATATTCTTTAATTCATTGGAGATGACGTATGAAATATTTCAATAAAAGCAAGTCTCCATTATCAGTTCATGAAAACTTCTCATTGCAAAGCTCAATAAACAAAGTTGCATTGCCCTACACATTCAATCAGTGAATGCGTCCAGCTCAATGAATTCAGTTTCTTAGATCATAGAGCCATTCCCTTCAAATGAACTTGTTGTAGGGTATAGCAGGGAAAAAGACAGGCAAGTTTCAATTCTTGGATATACAGAGGTAGTAAGAGAATGGTTTATGTGTTCCTCTATAGATTCCTTTTAGTTAAATGAGGAGCCTTAATCCTCCTTTTAAGAAGTAAAGTAAATGGTGTGATGAGTCAAATACCTCATTAGCAGAGCCAGTGCCAGGATAGAACTTTCCCCCCTCATGTCTATGCAAAGATATGTATAAAACCTATAGATATATGCAAAGTCAATCAACAAAAGCACTTAACACAAAAACAAAAGTACAAAAAAAAAAAACCATTAAATGCAGGAGAGAAGATATCCAGAGCATGCTTAGAATGCTTAAATTGTGCTTTATAACAGACTGCTCTGCATTACTTAAGGAAATCTCTTTAATACTTCAAAATTCTCTATACTAGGTGTTTCCATTGCCTAATTCTAAAACATTGCCAAAACTACAATTCTAGGCACTAGAACTAGAGTTGCCTCATTTTACTCCATTTCAAAAACAAATTGATGGGGTTGATAAAAAGACAACAGGAAAACAAATTGCAAATCAGCTTCTAACACTATATAGTGCGTAGCTCATTCATTAGGATAGGTATAGAAATTTGTACTTTCAGTTTTGAGAAAAGGAACATTAGTATTATTTGGATTAGAAAACATATTGTACAGCTCACCGATTTGTTCTGATCAAATATTTCTTGTGTGCCATTTCCATGATGGACATCCTGCAAGAACCATAGTAGAAATATAAAAAATGAAAAAAAAATCAGCTTACTGATCAAAAGCAAAGAACAAAGACTGGCAACAAAAAGCATCAAAAGCTGTCAGCAAAAAAAAAAAGAGTATCAAGTGCAGCCAACAAGGACATTACCCAATCAACTATAAGCACCTTCTTGGCACCAGCAGCCTGAGCAGCTAATGCAGCAACTGCAGCATTATTATGAAGACAGAATCCCATTGCCTCTCTTACACCAGCATGATGACCAGGAGGCCGAACCTAATTGATATTAAATATCATTAAGAACATAATATAGACAGTTCCTCCACCCCTTGACAATACCAACAAAATTACATGACATGCAATCAGACATACCATAGCAAAACCATTTTTCACCCTTCCTGAGAAAATTGTTGAAGCAAGATCAGCACACAATCCTGCTGCAAGCCTAGCAGCACATGCTGAATGCTCATTAGCATACGTGTCAGGAGTGAAATAACTGCCACAAACCAAACAATTAATCATATAACCAGTCTCATCATAGGACCAACAAGTTCAATGAAAATGGTGACTCTAACAACATACCAATCAAGGAATGTGAAAGTGTGATCCAAGAGGGTAAATTATTAAACAAAAACACCTTTCTGATGACATTTAGACAGAAAACTTAGGCAAGAGAGGGGAAGCAGAAAAAGAAAGGGAAGAAGAAGAGAAAGGGAAACAAAAACAAAATATCAAAAAAGCTCAAACCTTTTAAGGGTAAAATCAGAAATAATCCATAAACCAGAGGGCAAACAAGCGTGAACAAAAATATAGGCCCAGGACAGGTATGAAATTATTCATACAAATGATTGACACATCCCAACACCTTAAAGATCAAATTACCCTCCAAATAAACCATGTAAAAGGCCATTTAAACCCCCATCAACAAACCAGAATTTGACACCCCATAGCTTACAATTCCTTGCACACATCCAATCAGCGATGTCTTTACAGCATTACAGGAGACCCCAATAGTGAGAAATTAGGACAGCATTGCAAGGGCACACAAGAGTGCAGAAACACATGCACCTGTACAGCACAGACATACCTGGACAAAATATGGCTTGTGAGTTCTACATCTTGAATGTGTTCCAACGAATGCACCTAGAATATCAAATGACCTCATCAAAGACATTACCATTGTTTTCATGATTACCCAACACATTTCAGATAATAAACCTATTAGACAAACACATGGATATCATTAGCACTCGATAATGCTTATCACTCACCATTTGAAGTTCTTCTCGGGTAATCTCTCTTGCAGAAATTGGATAGCATCTTCCAGGAAATAACCCTGCATACATTAGTGATTGTTGTCAAGTTGCTAATAGATAATAAAGGGAATGCCAAAACTATTAGACAATCCATCGATTATACCATAAAAGTTCAGTGATTATATGAAACAAAGGAAGACAAAAAGGAACTAATATTTCATTACTTAGGACTTTTATTGTGTATGATTATTTAGAATTATTTAGGAATTCTAGTACTCATTATCTAGCAGTTAAAATAGGAATTTAGCTTATTTTAGTTTTACTATCCAAGCTATTTATAAGAGGGAAAAACTTATGTACCAGCAGTTGCAAGGCTAGCAGCAATAGCTCGAAGGCGATCAGATCGTTCTGGGTGGGGATGTGACTTCATTTGGACCTGCTTGGACATAGCAATCACCAAGAATAATTAACTAAATTAAGTTATCAGGAAGAAAAGAAATTCCCATCAAGTACCCTTGCAATATCACAGACAGTTAAATGACATGACCATCCATGAAAAAATTACAATGCATCAAATTCAAATTCAAAATCTATGTTTTAAACTGTGAAATTACATACTATTCATAAATTATTTTTGATGTTATATGGCTGGTTCACAATGTCACAGCCTTTGGCAAGGGCAGCAATCCAACCAGAAATCGCTAGATTTCCATCACTCCCTCAGTGAGAAACAATTTCCATGTCTCTACCATTTACATCTTGCTGAATTGTCCTATTAGCCAATATATGTTTCAAAGTAATCCACAAATCCATGCCTTAAATCATGCCTCAATGCTTGCAATTGCAGACAAGGATGGCGATTCTTTTTCCCAAGTTTACTCTTGCCAATGGAATCAAATTGAAAATGCAGTTTTAATCATCACCAGTAATAAGAGAATTGAGGTCAAGCATTGAGTATTGGTGGAAAGGAGCAGCAGCAAGTATACATGGAATTTCATCCCAAAAACTGTGTATGCATATAATTTTGAGTTCACATAGGTCTAAATGCATGCAAACTCCTTTACTTTATGATGCCATCAATCAGAGAATTTTAAAGATCTAGTTATTGAACTGTTTTCGAATATTTTGATAATTTCTATAAAACTAGTCTACTTAAGAATTTTTCATATTTAGAAATCTAAGCTTATTTAGGAGCTCTATTATTAAGCTTATTTAGGAACTAAAAATTATTAATCAGGTGCTTTCTATTAGCTTTGGTTTCCTTTCCTTATTTGATTTTATATTTCCTTCTTAATTTAGGACTATTAGTGATGTTGGTGCCTATAAAAGGAGCACCTTATTCTATGTAACCATAGGACTTCAAATGATGGAGCTATGAGCGCTTTTGTTTAGTTTACAGCTGCAGCCTTGTGTTCAATTTTCCCCTCCTCTTTCCTAAAAGCACTCTTTTCTTCTTCCTTTCTTCCATTTCTTTCATGCTACAGTCGGGTTACTATTCACAGGAACAGTGACCATAACAAATCCTCCTAAAAATACACATCCTTAACCAATCCCAATTCCACATGCAAAAACCCCTAACCCTAATTCCCACCTAAAATCCCTAATTCTCCAAACCTAGCTCACCACAAACTGTTTGTGAGGAATTAATCCAATGTTTTCTTACATCACTTCAGAAAAGCATACCTTTGCTCCAGTCCTTTCAACTACTCAAATGGCACCATTTTTTAAAGTTCCCATGTAATAATACCTTTGAGAACAAACCATTTAGGGACACGCCATAATCAACAGAGGGAGAAACATGGAGTGGAATAACTAAATCAATTACAGAAGAGATAATATGGCAAACACAATGGAGTTGACAATAAAAAATATTGGCATGGGTATCACTTGGAAACTACCCCCTAACAACCCCCTTTTCCCATACAACTAGGAAGTGAAGAGGGAAATAATAAAGGCACCATACCTCTGAGTGTAGCAACATCCTCTCATCAAAACCAATTGCTGTCGAACTGTTGGAGGCTGAAAGTTGTGAGTGCATCTCTGCATTGATAAGGGTAAACATTATGGTAATAGTCACAGATTAACACCAGACAATAAACCCCTCACATAAAAGTTGATATATTAGGCTATTAAATGGAGAACCTTTAAAGGTGAGGATAAAGTCACCAAATTGAAACTTAATGAGCCACTTGATGTTTTCATCATTCTAAAGTTAACAGATATTTTCTGTTCCTTTAGATCCCCTGAAACTATAGAGAAGTCTGTCCAATATGTATAGTTAATTAGCTGCTACACATTAGGAGATGCAGACCAATCTGTGCAGTTAACAAGCATAAATACTAACAAAGACCACTAACCAGGAAAATAGATATGAATTATGATAAATCAAATGCATAAATGATTAAAAAAACAAAACAAAGGAACAACAGACAACAACTTGTCAATTATGACCAACAGTTTACTCGAAGCCTTAACAGATGTTCAGAATCATTCATTCATACTCCAGAAACTAGAGAGAAGTCTATCCAACATTTATAGTTACCTAATAATATGAAATATTATAACACATATAACTTCAACAAATTATCTTCTTCCTATAAACTTCAATCATTTGTCAAGTTTCTACTACTTACCACTATATTCAGTGTTGGTTACCAAATGAAATTTAATCATCGTTCATGATTGAAAGAAGAAAATGATTGGGGGGGGTGGCGATAAGAAAATATTTGTAGTAGTAATAGTTAGCTATGAAAAACAGATACATGTAATCACCTTTGTTTTTTCCTTTCATTTCTGACTCAACCTCACTGCAACCTGCGTCTTGTGATAAAGGAGATGCAAAGCACCCCAGCCTCAAAATACCAGAATCTTTATGTTCACCACATAACTGCATAGAATTGATTGTGCAAGTCATTCACACACATACCATATCACATAAATATGTGGAGGCAGATATTGATTCAAGTGTCAGCAATGCATAATACACCACCAAAAGATGACATGAAACATACATCACAGATGACACCATCACCAAGATTAACCATAGTGCAGTTGACGCAAAACCACTTTATAAGCTCTACATGCTTTTGCACAGGCTCCCAGTCACTGTCGTCTTCATCGTCTTCATCAAAGTAATCTCCATTGTCATGAATGTCTTGAAATGTCAAGTCTCCCTGCCTAGCCTTTTTCTTCAAAAGAAAAAACAAATCACATTACTACATTTCAAGTTGACATGTTATTAAAGCTAAAATAGCCATCTCATGCACTAATAAATCCCCAATATGTTAAGCCATTAATGGGTTCAGCTTACACATACAAAAACAGGTTCTATGTCACCGTCTAAGTTGCCATCTACATCTCCCGTATTCATTGTTAAATCATAATCTTCACCACTTGAACTAGTTCCAGCTCGATTAGAACCCAAGTTTTCATGTTTGCCATTCATACCATTACTGGAAAGACCATGCCTCTCTTTGTGAACACTCTTCTGAGCTTCCCCATTTGCTAAACGACCTGTTTTAATTGTTTCAGAACCCATATTGCCTCCAAAATTCGAATATATATTTTCTGCATTTTCATCAAAATCAAATTCACAAAGCTAATAGCAAAAACACGTCGACTAAGCATCAAAATGTAAAGTGATAAACTGCAACATGAAAAGGCAACAAGGACTAATTTATATAAACATTTCAGCAACATTACGAAATAAAATAACAATAACTGGTCTCATTTCTTTCCAAATAATTCTAAAATTAAAGAGTAAGATAACCACACACAAAAAAATCACCATCATCATCATCTTCAAGCTATAAAAGGCCACTGTTCATATGATATGGTTACAGAGGAATGGAAAAAGAGAATTCAAAAAACAAAAACTTTTATTTATTACTGGGTGTACAAGCTCTAAAATCACGAAAAATACAAATCTAAACTTCGAACCTAGAACCTCACAATGGAAGCTTGTCAGATTCTCACCGGTTAAGAATGCGAAAATCGAGAGAGAGAGAGAGAGATTGAAATCATTAATGGAGGGGAAAGAAAACCCTAAAAGAATGCAATACTTCCTTAGGGCTAACAATTTAAAGAAGAACTAGTAGTAATAGTAGAAGAAGAAGAAGAAGGTGTAGATTTAATTAGTTGATTTACCTGAAACTGCAAAAACAACAAAATGAAGAAAGCGAAATCGATTTTGACTTTCACTATTACCTTACTAGTGCTGTTGTTTTTGCTTTGGGAATCACGATCTACCCTTTCTCGTTTCAATTTCAAGTTTCGTCTTTGCAAGAGGGTCACCCCATTCGGGTCGGGTCAACTCCATTCGGGTCGGGTCAACTCCATTCGGGCTTATACTTAATTTTTCTCGTGGCCCGTTCGGCTTGATAATATTTTAATTTGACTATAATTTAATCCTTTAATTTATCACAACAGATTAATTAATCATTATAATTAATTAATTTTTTAACTATACTGACAATCCTTTATTTATTTATATTTCAATCCAAACAATGCTTTCTTTTTTCTTCGATCTTTTCTATTAACAAAAAGTAAATTGTAAACTTTGTTTTGGTTAGCATTTTATTTTTCTTATTGAAATGAAAAATTACAGCTTCGAAATATTTTATTATTTTGCTCTATGATCTATAATATGTATTTATAATTTAACATACATTATTTCTATTCAAGTATAAAAATAAATTAACTTAAAATTATACAATAAATTAACTTAAAATTATACAATATAAATACAATATTAAATATCTAAACATAATTTCAAAATTTAATCTAAGCATTTTAGTTCATTTTAGTTGGGAAATCAAGATGGTTAGAAAAGAAAAAACAACCCTCGCACTTGATGTGACTTGATTATTGTGCTTGCTTTTAGTCAATTGGATAAATGGTTAGTTTGATGAATTTAATTAAAGTTTTTCTTTTTTTCAATTTAGTTATAAATCTTTAATTTCTTTTAATTTGGCCCTTAAAAGTTATGATGTTTTTATCATACAATTTTTAATTTTGTTAATAAAATTTAAAAAATAGGAACTAAGATTAAAATTAACAAAATTAACACCCTTTTCCATGTATATTATTCAAGTGACGTGCAAATCTATACCTTAATTCTTTAATTTTAATTTTTTTATATTTATTCTCTTTTATTTTATTTTATTTTTGTTTGTGTACTAAACTTTATTTTTATGTTTCAGTTCATGAATCTTAAAAGAAAATCACTGGAATTTTTTAAGTGAAAAAAAGTTGTTCCGTGCTTATGTTTTAGACAACAATAATTTTAATTTTATTATTTATCAATTTGAAGTTTAGAAAGAAACTTAATGGAGGTGGTTTTCACCTTCAATAATACAAGAAAAAATAAATCAAAACTCTAGAAATATTTTTATTCTATTTTATTTTTGATATTTTAAGCTATTGAGAATGTGTTTTGTTGTCATTTTTGGAGTTATAACGGTTCATATGATATTTTTGGTGAAAGTAATTGAAATTTAAGTTTTTGGGTTACTTGAACCTTGATTTTTTTAGTAACCGAATGTACTTTTAGAGCCCAAAAAACATGATAGATAATGAAATATAGTTTGTTCAAACAGCCAACTCACCATCTACCTATTTTATAAAAATAATAGGATAGATGACGTGTTATTTACCCTTAAAGAAAAATAAATAAAAATCAAGCATTGTTGGATTTTAATGTGGCATAAGATCGCTAGTCTATTCGTCCAATCTATGCACACCTAACCCTTTAATTTTTTTTATTTCATTATTTTTTTTCTCCTTCTGCATTTTATACTTAGATTCTTTTAAAATAAATTTATTTAAATGAAGCTTAAATAATTATCCAACTATACCATTATTTAAAAATATAATCTTTTATGGTAATACTAATAATTGTTTTTTAAATCATTATACATGAAACTAATATAAGTAATTCTCTAAATATGGATGAAATATCCATTTTTTATTTTTTTAATACAATTTTTATATAATTTTTAAATTTTTATTTTTTTATATTTTTTAATGCATCCATATCAAAATTATCAATTTATTATTTTTTTTATCAAAATTTACTTTTGAGATTGTGATAAGTTTTTTATTTAAAATATTAAAAAAATCAAGAAACAAAGAATGCATTAATAGGAGAAAAATGTAATGATTAAAAAAGAAACTTTTATGCTTTTTTCAAATCATTAAATATTTTTTATATTAATTTCATATAATTAAATAAAAATTTTAAAGAGTATTGATACGACCAAAAGATTGATGTCTTCTTTCAAATATAGGAGTGTCGAAATAATAAATAACCTAACAAGACCGAGGTTGAACCATAGAGGGGTTAACTATATAAATTATAAATAATAATAATAATAATAAGTGAAAGAGGACTTTGAGATGTAAGATTAATAGGAAGACTAAATAATGATAAAAACAAATGTCAAGGTTAGAGGATCCACTAATGGTATTTCAAACAAGTATAGTATAAACTTTTTTTATTACTCTACTAGAAACCACACACAAAGGAGGTTCCAATCAGATTATAAATAGTTAATATGATTACATTAGTTATCTTATTCGAATAATATTAATACTTGTAAATGTTGTCAAGTATTCATGATTATAACTTATGTTAACAACCAATTAAGTTCTTTTCATAACACAAATGTCGGTTACACCATACAGTTACACTTTGAAAATACCAAGTATTTGTTGTGCCGAGTATTATACAACATAAATCTAGATTAGTCATTTAACAAGCAAAGTATTAAAAGTAAACAAGATAACAAATACAAAATATGTTTGTATTAAACATTAGAGTCCATGTTGAGTTTACACTACACTTATTCTTATACCATTAGTGTAACCTTTTCACTTTGACATAATAAACTTAACTAAATATAATGAAAGAAGAGAAATATAAATAAACATATAACAACCCCAACATTGGTATTCAAAACAAAGAGTAAAGACATAATAATTCACTTAAGATTAGGGATTTTTTTTGTAATTAATAAAAATTCGACAGAGTTTCCTTTATATTTTTAGATACCAAGTTATCGACTTTTCTTCCATAATCCCCAATTAACAAATCTCTTACTTGTCCTATTATCCAGGATATCCTCCTCTTATTACATCACAACTTTTTAATAATCAAATTCAAACATGTCTAAACAATGCAATGTCTATATATGTCTAAACATGTATAAACCTAGCGAGGTAATAAAGACATCAACATGGTTAAACATTATATTCATTCGAGTAGATATTGTAAAGACCTGTAGTTCCTCTCTAATTATTTTTTCAATAATGTCCCTTTATACTAAAGCTTTAGGGATGACCCCTAAAACTTGACTACCTCCTAAAAATGCAACTATTGACATACCTCCTATTAACCCAAAATTGCCTTCCTTGTATACTAAATGAATCTTTGTCTCAGCTAGCACTTGACCAAAATAATTTGTTAATTCTAAAAACTCTTTTTCTTTCCCAGGACCTAGATCCATAAAAAATACAAACATTTTTTATATGATGACCTGAGGAACTTGTCATTTCTACACACTTTTATATTTGTTGAAAGTATGGGTTGAGTAGAAATATAAGGAAAAGAGGATTTTATACATGAAAAATTAAAAAGACAATCATACCACCTATATGTAGGTCAGCTGGAGTCTCACACTCTCTCTCTCTATTTTTTTTATTTTAAAAAAACATGTGTATGTATAGGTAGTTGTGATTATGGCTCACATCTTTCCTTGGTTTTACATCCAAGAATGGCTTAAACGCCCTCTATAGGTCGAGGATAGACTTCCCATCCAGTTTTCTTAAAAATTAGCAAACAGGATCTTTTTTAGTCTGATTCTCAAAACTATACCAAGCATGTTCTTTATGAAAATGGGTTCATAAGTCCTGAATTGCATGATACTTAACTCTACTATGATGAGACTTGAGAGTTAAAAGAAGATTATCTAAAAGACTCTTTGTGTTTTGAAATAAATCTCATCTTTTGACAATTTTCACAAGTTTTGCAGAATGGGTGTGAATTCTTAAACATAGTGGGCCAGTAAAATCGATATCGTAAAATTTTTGCAGTCGTATTTTTTGACAAAAAATGACTCCCACATATCTCAGAATGACAAAATTTAATGACACTACTTACCTCATTATCGGGAATGCAACTTTGAAATATTTGATCAGAACAATATTTGAATAAGTAAGGATTATCCCAATAAAAGTTTTGCGCGTCGCTCAAAAACTTTCTTTCATTTTGGTTATCCAAATGGGTTGAAAAAAATCTTGAAGCAAGAAAATTGATATTTTTAACAAACCAAGGCATTAAACTAAGAGAAAGTAAAGATTCAACAAGAAAGTCATCATCGATTGGTGTGATGTCGGATGTTGAATCTATTGTTAATTTTGACAAATGATCCGCGATAACATTTTTAATGTCTTTTTCATCCTTGATTTCTTCTTTTTTGAAAGTTTCAAAGATTTCACAATCGTGATTAACTTCCCTTTGTTTGGTCATGGCATGAGGAAATGGAGGTACTGGTGTGGAATCAGTCTTTTCCTTGGAATATTCAGATTCAACCCTTTCTTTACCCTTAGAGATTGACTCATCATCTTTCTCACAAGGTTCAAGAGTGAGTTTTTCAATAACCTTACCACTACAAAGAGTGATAATTGATTTGACTTGATCAATGTGTTGTCTTCCAGAACTACTTGCATTTGCATTATATTGCCTCTTGAGATTTTACTGTGGTTGAGATGGAAACTTACCTTTCTCTTGAAAACAGAGAGCATATGTGAATTTTACAAGAGTATCTTGAAAATCTGTTATGCTTTGAGCAAGTTGAGTGTTGATTGTCTCTTGCTTTTCAATGGATCTTGATCTTAGATTTTATAGCCATGTTTTAGCTTTATCTTTCAATGAAAAAGTAAAAAGCTTTAATCTAGTGATGTTCATGCTACAATTTGAGTTATTATAGGTGTTTTAAACCTTCTCAAATTCCCTTAAATGCAAGTATGGATTTTCTAAATCTAAGCCATAAAAAGAAGGTAAAAGTTAAATAATGTCTGGT